CGACACTGCGACGACAAGCAAAAGAAACCGATACCTGAGGAACTTTATTTCAGAATGTAACCTGTCCTTTAACAACGCAGGAAAAACCTTCATCAAGGCATCTGGAGTAGAATGTTCAGAACTTGACTATTTCCTACACACTTTCAAAGACCAGAAGCTATACACACAAACAACACGGTTCTACATTCATTAAAAATGAACGTATCAGATCATCATCCAATACAAATAACGTTCGTGTTCGATTTCAGCAATGTCACACTAAAGCAAAGGAAGAGTAGCAACATCACCCCTAAAATAAAATGGGACAAAATAGACATGGATCTATATAAAGCTATGGTCGATACATCATCAAAGGTGATAGTTGAAAAACTATCCAATAATCAGATAGGACTGGAAGAATCTATTCAGACGACATGTGAGGTAATGGCTAACTTAAACCTGCTGTCAAAATCTCATAAAAAGAACAATACCAACGAGTGCATATTTAACATTGGAAATACTGTAATGCCAACAGTCAAACAGGCACTACACCTTGGAATAATCCGGACAACCTCAATGAAGGAAAACATTGCTTTGAATGTTGAGGAAAATATCAGGAAAGCTAGAAGAAGCGCATACGGCCTATTTGGTGGTGGATTCCATGGACACAATGGACTAGATCCGGAAACAGTGGTACACCTGTTTAAAAAGTACATTAGCCCCGTGCTACTCTACGGAATGGAACTATTACTACCAAAAAACAGCCATGCTACTTCAACTAGAAAAATTCCAGAAAAGAATACTGAAACAACTGCTTTCGCTCCCAACAGCAACACCAGACCCGGCGTTGTACATACTATCAGGAATACTACCCGTCGAAGCGCAAATTGACAAAAGAGCACTTGGGTTATTTAATAACATCTGTAACCAAGATGAAAGCAGCACAGAAAAACAACCGGCGCGAAGGCAAATTGGTGTAATGTCCCTGGACAGTAATAGTTGGTTTTAAAGAAATCAAAAAGATCCTAATAAAATACAACATGGACGAAATCAACAACTACCTTGATACACCTATGAAGAAAGAAAAATGGATCCCATTAATAAACCGAACTATCCAAAAACAATGGAATGACCCAATAACAAGGATCGTTCCTTACTTCAAAAGCCTACGGCATCTAAACTACATGGAATTTTACCAAGGGAAGCTACATCCTCTGCTAAAAATCATATGCCAATCGCTAGAGATATAGGAAGAATTCCTCAAAAACTAAAATTGCTAACCGGCACATACATTCTGCAGTCACACAGAATCAAAATGTATGAAAATGAAACAGACCCGATGTGTCTTATATGCCACCAAGGGGACGAAACGCTTGAACATTTCATCCTAGAATGCGAAGGTCTATCCGACATCAGGAACCCAATTACGGATGAAATAAATGCCATTCTGAAGGATTCAACAAATGTAGACTTTCACGAGCAAACATCAAAAGTAAAGATGCAAATTCTTCTGGACATTACAATGCTCCGGGAAAATCTGAAACTGGACACAAAATTAATGGCCAAAATTGAATATTGTAGCCGCCGCCTTCTCTTTTTGTTGCACACCACCAGATATAGTTTCCTGTGGAAAAAGGACAAGAAAAACGTAAAGGTGTAATAACCAAACAACTATGATACCGAAAATGAACACTGTGTATATAACTGTATATAGAACAAAATTCACTGGTGATGGACTGCAAACGGCACTGTATATATAAAGCACACAGGTGGAGGATGTTACTGTTAAACATACTGGTGCCTATGAAGACACTGGTATGGTTCTCCTATACAGGAGGTTAAAGATACAGAGGTAAGTTAAGGCATACTGTTTTCGCGATCTAAAAATTGGCAATGTAAGTAACCAAAATCCACTCTACTGCTGCCAAGAAAGAATGGTTACTCATCAAAACTTTATGCATTTTTTATTTTCTTGTTCTAGTTAGTGGTCGTTCTATTTGAAGCTACACTGTGCAGGTAACGCGTTGCGGTGGGACTTTGAAAAACCGGGCGTCCGTCCGTCCGGTCTTGTTAGCGTTCTCATCTGTGCAATTCTTGGCAGATTTTTATAAAACTTATATCATAGGTTTATATCAGCAATGTCCCGGACGATTTCGAAAATCAGTGCCGATCAATTATTTTTAAAAGAGTTATGCCCTTGGAAATATTAATTATATGGAAAATTGCATCGTTAGCGCTCTCATGTGTACAATTCTTGCCAGATTTTTATAAAACTTATATTGTAGGTTTATATCAGCAATGTCTCGGACCAGTTCGAAGATCAGTGCCGATCGGTTTTTTTTTTAAAGTTATACCCCTTGGAAACATTAATTATATGAAAAATTGCATCGTTAGCACTTTGATTTGTACAATTCTTGTCAGATTTTTATGAAACTTATATCATAGGTTTATATCAGCAATGTCTTGGACGAGTTCGAAAATAAGTGCTGATCAATTTTTTAATTGCATCGTTAGTGCTCTCATGTGTACAATTCTTGCCTGATTTTTATGAAATTTATATTATAGGTTAATTTCATCAATGTCTTGGACGAGTTTGAAAATCTTTGCGGATCAATTATTTTTAAGAGAGTTATGCCCCTTAGAGATATTAATTATGTGAAAAATTGCATCGTTAGCACACTCATGTGTACAATTCTTGCCAGAATTTTATGAAATTGATATCATAGGTTTATATCAGCAATGTCTGTTACACTTGCGAAAATAAGTGCTGATCAAATATTTTTAACGAGTTATGCCCTTGGAAATATTAATCATATTGGAAATCACATTGAATTTGCTCTGAAGCATTCCTCTCTCTAAGATATTTATCAACAGTTTTAAAGAACAACAAAAAAAGTGTATTTTAGTTATTGCCCTTGATCCTTGGATAGATAAAATATGTGCAACGCGGGGGACATTGGAACTCTGTTCTTTTATTTGGTAAAGATTGCATGAAATGCAATCAAAACCCTATGGTACTGACTTGATATTTAAATCTTCTGAGGTTTATCACTACTTTTGAGATACACAAAATATAGTGCATTGATCGTACCATATATGCTCAGATATTCAAGTTACAAAATGATGTTAAACTTGTCCAGAAAATTTCATAACTCGTGCAAGGTGCAGGAATCTAACATCTGTTCTAAAAATACCAATGATGTCATTGTTAAAGTAATCTTTAAAATTGGAGTTATCTTCCATAATTGTAGTTGAATCAACTACAACCAATGCTTTATACAATGCAATGTTTAATTTTACTTCTCACTGATAAATTAAAGCAATCTTTACCCTTCAGTGCTTACACGCACTTTGATTTTGTTATATGCTTCAGTTTAACGAAGACAATTTAGAAGGTTTGTGCGTATGTAAATCTTGTTTGATACCAACACGATGTTTGTCTGTACCAAGTCATGATACCACCACGATGTGTGCCTATACCAAATCAGGCTAACTAGACCACGTGTTGTCCATCGTTGTTTGTCTTTCTTTACTTGGAAGTCTGTTTTGATCCTTGGATAGATAAAATATGTGCAACGCGTGGGACATTGGAACTCTGTTCTTTTATTTGGTAAAAATTGCATGAAATGCAATCAAAACCCTATGGTACTGACTTGATATTTAAATCTTCCGAGGTTTATCATTACTTTTGAGATACACAAAATATAGTGCATTGATCGTACCATATATGCTCAGATATTCAAGCTACAAAATGATGTTAAACTTGTCCAGAAAATTTCATTACTCGTGCAAGGTGCAGGAATCTAACATCTGTTCTAAAAATACCAATGATGTCATTGTTAAAGTAATCTTTAAAATTGGAGTTATCTTCCATAATTGTAGTTGAATCAACTACAACCAATGCTTTATACAATGCAATGTTTAATTTTACTTCTCACTGATAAATTAAAGCAATATTTAACCTTCAGTGCTTACAAGCACTTTGATTTTGTTATATTATTCAGTTTTACGAAGACAAATTAGAAGGTTTGTGCGTATGTAAATCTTGTTTGATACCAACACGATATTTGCCTGTACCAAGTCAGTCTAACTAGACCACGTGTTGTCCATCGTTGTTTGTCTTTCTTTACTTGGAAGTCTGTTTTTACCGGAGAAGTCAGGTGTTGACAGCTCAAGTGTAACACAACAAGATAGTTAGTTAACAGTTTTGTAATGCCGGTCTGGAACGGAGTCCATAACGGACAAGGTCCATAACAGACGGTCTTTTTTCAACAGTGCATGCAATAGTTTATATACAATTTCATTTGAATATAACAGTTTATCAAAATTTCTATTACTTTGACAATAATAGTTTTTAAACTAAAGATACACAGATAAATATCTATCAAGCTGACTTTAATTGGCATGTTTTTACCAATCTGGACAATTTATAGTTATGAATCTTGTGTATGTCCAGTTCATTAATTAATTGTTATTATAACATGTCAGCATATGGCCTACATGTGTACATGTACTTATATTTACATGTTATTTAACCTTGAATTTAAACAATCAGTCTAAAACTTGTTTGTACAATTTTCTTGATAGATATCTCCCTGTGTTATTTTATTCAATGAATTTTATTAAACATATTAAGAATATATAAATATATATATATATATTTTGAAGCCCATTATATTGTCACATTCCCCCCTTTCTTAAGAAATAGAATTTTATATTTTAGTTTAAATCGGTGACAATATGAATGCTTGCAAATTAAAAAAAAACAACATTCATAAACAAAGTCATTTCAACAGTTCAACGACATCTAAATGTCCAGCAATGCATAGTTCATACTGTTCTTGTGTGGAATAACTAAGTTGAAAAAGTTCAATCATTACACTCTTCGTTACATCAAAAATCGGAACTTCGTAATACAAGAAAAAGGCGCAACCATTAACTGCTGACCGTCTTCATAACCCCGACTCCGGTGGACTGCTCCTCCGAACGTCGTTGTCAACTCCAACAATCCGTTTGTTTGTCCGACCTCCATGCGCAACTACTCCGACTGTCGTCGATAACTCCGACCTCCATGCGCAACTACTCCGACCTCCATGTGATCCACCATCTGTCGTTGATATACTCCGACCTCCAAGTGATCCACCATCTGTCGTTGATATACTCCGACCTCCAAGTGATCCACCATCTGTCGTTAATATACTCCGACCTCCAAGTGATCCACCACCTGTCGTTGATATACTCCGACCTCCATGTGATCCAGCATCTGTCGTTGATATACTCCGAACTTTATGTGATCCACAATCTGTCGTTGATATTACTACTAACTGACCTAGCTTACCTACCCTGTTGATTCAGGGTCCCTGACTAGGTTGCTCAGTTATCACTGGCTGGAACAAATCAGGCAAATCTACCTGTGATGTTGTAGAACGATTCCCTCTATCAATATAAAGTAATGTGATCGTATAGTTTTATGTACATCTTAACGTCTGCGTTGTGTCCAATAACCAAAGCCAATATCCAGTGTTCTTGTCCAATCGTCATTCTTGTGGTTAGTTTACTCAATTGTTACTTCTCATTGTTTGACAAGTTGAGTACTGGCTAATAGTTCTTAGTGGCTGGTTCTAATAGTGGTACAGAAGCGATTCTAACATCTCTAGAGGCAGTACCATCGCCCTCAACATTAGTTGACACCACTTGATCGCCACCAAGATATCTAGTGACTATTTGAACCTCTTTATTATTAGTACTTCTCAATTTGGCCAACCTCTACACTTTAATTTTTGACTATATTTGGAAAATAAATATAACAAAATGCCTATAAAGATAGCAAAGAAATAAATCAATGCATTTACTAAATTTGATAGTTCAAAGTCGTCCTCAATAAGTTCTTACTGCTTTAATTTGCTAAATGGACTTATCAATATGTTATTTCCTTAACTAGAATATAAAAACTCGAAAAAATACGAAATGGTTTCTATATTAAAGTTAATTTCTTTTACTAAGTTATATAATTAATTTTTTTCTACTGTGTAGCAATTTACCCCCAAAAAAACAACCTTTTCATATATACTCTGCTCTCGCAGACACTGAAAAGGTTTTAAATAAGGTTTGACATTCAACCAACACGTTCCTTCCTTTTTCATAAACAAAGCTGTGATTAAGAGATTACTGATATTAATACGGAATTCTAAACAATCAATATTTTTTCAGTGATCCATCTGAAGCGACAATTAGAATGAATATGATTAATTAAAACAAAAGTATATTATTTACAAAAATATTTCATATACACATAAAAATTATACTTATAAATAAACAAACTAGTTATAACGAAGCCTATGACTACATCTTGTTAGTCGTAAAAAAAATGTGAGAATGTTTAACATTAATTAGACTAAGTCTTTCTTTCAGACTTATACATTTTTCGTTTATTTTTCTTTAGTATACTTATTTCATCAACAGGCATGTTCTGGCTACTTTCTAAACTATATCTCATTTGTCATCTCATTTAAACCGGAAGTTATAGATGACCTTATGACCCTCTTCTCTCATTTTTTTCTTGGCTTGCTAATTCCCTTTTTTTCATCAGCATCACATTAATATTCGTCGGAATATGTATCGCGTTATTGTTTATAACGATTAATCATATGATACTTATTTCCATATATTTAAGTCCTAAATTATTTTTTCTATTAATATTGCCATCCGTGTTACAATGCAATATTATAAAAACATTTTCATTTTTAACCCTTATTATAGATTTTTTTTTTATTGTCAATCATTCATTTGATTTGCTCATTGATGATTATACATGATGTTCAAATATCCCTTTGAACATATTAAAAAATATATATAATCATATATTTCATCTATCGCGAAATACTTAAAAACTTAAAACCATAAGATCGAGCGAACAAAGCAGTTATATCAATTTTTATTATCTATGCGCTATTTTCTGAAGATAATTCTGTCATTCTTAAAAAATACCACAATAAGGGTTGGTTTTCTTTTTCATAGAAAAATTGTTACTATAACAACCGTGAATAACACTAACCAACAACGTGCACCATTTTCATGGCTTAGCAACGTATGCCTTATTAATTGTGCGAAAAAAAGGTTTGGATTCTAAATAACATAGAATTTTTTTGTTTCTCTAAAAAAGAAATGAACTTACGCACTGCCCAACTGCGTCAACCATATTTGAACAATCATGGTTATAACATCGCAGAAATACCCTTAACTTCGTCGCCAAAAGGTTCTTAAATGAAACTTTCTTATACCAGTGTATACAGGCGCGTATATTCTAGAATTACGGATTGTATCTTCAGAAAACAACTCAAAATATGAATCAAAACAGAAATTATTATATTCCAAATCAAGATATAGATGTTTTAATTTTATCATTATTCACGCAGTTTAATACTCTAAAATATAACCAGCATCTAGAGAATTTTACTTATTATGAATTAATTCTAAAATATTAATATTTAAGCTTTTTAAATAATATCTATATATTCCGTCTTTTAATGAACAGCATATAAAAACTTCTCCTCATTATATTAAAATTTGTACGCAAGTCTTTTATATTAATAATATTTGGACTGTCTTTCAATTTACAGCATATAAACACATCTCATCATTATAATTAAAATTTGTAAGCAAGCCTTTTGTATTGACTTATAAAATCAAATACCTAATAAAGTCCTTCACCCTAATAATGATTACATACAAAAAATATCAATAGAAAAACCTCCACCAATGAATTAGACAAAATAAATATCTACATTTTCGCTTATAAAATCAACATTATTTTAACAAAACATTCCTCATGCTGAGTTAATCCAAGTTAGCATCTTGATCATGAAAAAGTGTGCTTACATCTTGAAAACCTATTCCTATTTTTTCCGATTTTGAACCATCAAAGCTTTCAATCGAATTAATGCCCTTTTCAGATACCCGTTGAGTAAGACTTTGAACTTTTGTTACTAAATTTGGAAAAACTAACCATATCCTTTGTTTTTCTATTCAAGCAAATTCGACTTATTTCATTTTTAATTTTTGCTTTTAAACTTAGAAAAATAATTTGAAATTGAAATTAAAATGACAATTCGTTGTTCAGTTTGAAATCCAAATTCAAAGAGAACAAAGTCATAAAACGAACCGTTCGACCATCATATGAGAAGTTTAATAATATTCGTTTTATTACTGTGTTAAAGGTATATAATTTAATTTTGGATGTAACACGTCTTCTGATTGGCTGAAAGTGTTTTGTCTATCAGCTCATCATGAGACATAAGTCATGTGACCGTGACGTCACCAACGTTTTTTTTCAAAATTTACTCCTTAAAGATTGACTTTAGAATTAAATTATAAGGAATGATTGTAATATTTTTTCTGTCTATTCGAAATAACGCGGGTTATCCAGTGTGCACCGAAGTTTTGATGTTATTTCGAATAGACAGAAAAAATATTACAGTCATTTCTTAAATAGAACGAGTTTCTGATAAAAAAATTATGTGAAGGAAGTTATTGATCCAATGCATGCACATATACTAAGTTAAGCCCTTTGTGTACGTTTATTACGGATCCATAACGTACAAAAAAAAAAGGAAAATAACAAAAATACCGAACTCAGAGGAAAATTGTAAATGAAAAGTCCCTGAGCAAATGGTAAAATCAATCGACACAAAATATTGCATGATGTGATTGTTGATCGAAAACTTTTGCTGCTTATTAATTTTCGGGTTTTGGTGCCGAATTTTACCGATCGTAACCTTTTAATAAACAATCAATACATAATTATGGAGCATGTGAAAAATAAATTAGTTCATATGTATATTTGTTGTTTTTTTTTTAAACATTCTCCATGTGTTCCCAGTAAATTAAATTTGGTCATAACAGTTGTTAATTGATCAGGTACATTACATTTTGTTCTTTCAAAATCGATTAATATTATCCTAATTCAACTTTTGTTTACTTTTTCTTTCATCACGATTTTTCCTCGCACTTGTGCTGTGCGGTTGTCGAAATTCTAACGAAAGGTGTCATGGTTAAGGTAACTGCATATTGAAAAGATGTTGACGAATTAGTTTACGGGAAAACAATAATTCAATATTATCAGTATATTTCTGATTTTGATAAATGCAGGACAATATGAATGCTTGCAAATTAAAAAAAAACAACATTCATAAACAAAGTCATTTCAACAGTTCAACAACATCTACTGAATGTCCAGCAATGCATAGTTCATACTGTTCTTGTGTGGAATAACTAAGTTGAAAAGGTTCAATTATTACACTCTTCGTAACATCAAAGATCGGAACTTCGTAATACAAGAAAAAGGCGCAACCATTAACTGCTGGTCGTCTTCATAACCCCGACTCCGGTGGACTGCTCCTCCGAACGTCGTAGTCAACTCCAACAATCCGTTTGTGTGTCTGCAACGCCAATCCCCGTCATTCAGAAGTACTGCAACTTCTCCGACTGTCGTCGATAACTCCGACCTCCATGCGCAACTACTCCGACCTCCATGTGATCCACCATCTGTCGTTGATATACTCCGACCTCCAAGTAATCCACCATCTGTCGTTGATATACTCCGACCTCCAAGTGATCCACCATCTTTCGTTGATATACTCCGACCTCCAAGTGATCCACCAGCTGTCGTTGATATACTCCGACCTCCATGTGATCCACCATCTTTCGTTGATATACTCCGACCTCCAAGTGATCCACCATCTGTCGTTGATATACTCCGACCTCCATGTGATCCACCATCTGTCGTTGATATACTCCGACCTCCAAGTGATCCACCATCTGTCGTTGATATACTCCGACCTCCATGTGATCCACCATCTGCCGTTCATATACTCCGACCTCCAAGTGATCCACCATCTGTCGTTCATATACTAGTACTCCGACCTCCATGTGATCCACAATCTGTCGTTGATATTACTCCTAACTGACCTAGCTTACCTACCCTGTTGATTCAGGATCCCTGACTATGTTGCTCAGTTATCACTGGCTGGAACAAATCAGGCAAATCTACCTATTGATGTTGTAGAACGATTCCCTCTACCAATATAAAGTAATGTGATCGTATAGTTTTATATACATCTTAACGTCTGCGTTGTGTCCAATAATCAAAGCCAATATCCAGTGTTATTGTCCAATCGTCATTCTTGTGGTCAGTTTACTCAATTGTTACTTCTCATTGTTTGACAAGTCGAGTACTGGATAATAGTTCTTAGTGGCTGGTTCTAATAGTGGTACAGAAGCTATTCTAACATCTCTGGAGGCAGTGCCATCGCCCTCAACATTAGTTGACACCACTTGATCGCCACCAAGATATCTAGTGACTATTTGAACCTCTTTATTATTAGTACTTCTCAATTTTTTAAAACTTAAACTTAAATTTTTGACTATGTTTGGAAAATAAATATAACAAAATGCCTATAAAGATAGCAAAGAAATAAATCAATGCATTTACTAAATTTGATAGCTCAAAGTCGTCCTCAATAAGTTCTTACTGCTTTAATTTGCTAAATAGACTTATCAATATGTTATTTCCTTAACTAGAATAAAAAAACTCGAAAAAATACGAAATGGTTTCTATATTAAAGTTAATTTCTGTTACTAAGTTATATAATTAAATTTTTTTCTACTGTGTAGCAATTTACCCCCCAAAAACAACCTTTTAATATATACTCCGCTCTCGCAGACACTGAAAAGGTTTTAAATAAGGTTTGACATTCAACCAACACTTTCCTTCCTTTTTCATAAACAAAGCTGTGATTAAGAGATTACTGATATTAATACGAGTTCTAATCAATCAATACTTTTTCAGTGATCCATCTGAAGCGACAATTAGAATGAATATGATAAATTAAAACAAAAGTATATTATTTACAAAAATATTTCATATACACATAAAAATTATACTTATAAATAAACAAACTAGTTATAACGAAGCCTATGACTACATCTTGTTAGTCGTAAAAAAAAATGTGAGAATGTTTAACATTAATTAGACTAAGTCTTTCTTTCAGACTTATACATTTTTCGTTTATTTTTCTTTAGTATACTTATTTCATCAACAGGCATGTTCTGGCTACTTTCTAAACTATATCTCATTTGTCATCTCATTTAAACCGGAAGTTATAGATGACCTTATGACCCTCTTCTCTCATTTTTTTTTCTTGGCTTGCTAATTCCCTTTTTTTCATCAGCATCACATTAATATTCGTCGGAAGATGTATCGCGTTATTGTTTATAACGATTAATCATATGATACTTATTTCCATATATTTAAGTCCTAAATTATTTTTTCTATTAATATTGCCATCCGTGTTACAATGCAATATATATTATAAAAACATTTTCATTTTTAACCCTTATTATAGATTTTTTTTTTATATTGTCAATCATTCATTTGATTTGCTCATTGATGATTATACATGATGTTCAAATATCCCTTTGAACATATTAAAAAATATTTATCCTGCAATCAGCTAACTTTTGTACAAATAACAGGTACACAAATAATTTTTTGCTTTGTTTGTACGTGTGCCAATCGGCAATCATCGGGTGACTCCGCTACTCTCCTTCTGTCCTTAGATGAGGTACGGAATCGGCCGAGTTATGACGAATGTACTTGTACAAATAAAGTCTCCTGTTACCCCGCTTTCATGTTGAGCAAGCGGTAATGTCCGCGTTTAAACTATGTCGATTTCTTTGAAAAATCAGAGACAATGATTTAGATTTTAACAACTAAAGTTTCAAGTGTTGGGTGTAAATTTCAGGATAAAAACAATATATGTACATTGTCGGAAAATATAAAATTTATTTGTACTCGCTACGCTTTTCGTCCTGTTCCTAAAGCTCATACAAATAAATTTTATATTTTCCGACAATGTACATATATTGTATATATATAATCATATATTTCATCTATCGCGAAATACTTAAAAACTTAAAACCATAAGATCGAGTGAACAAAGCAGTTGTATCAATTTTTATTATCTATGCGCTATTTTCTGAAGATAATTCTGTCATTCTTAAAAAATACCACAATAAGGGTTGGTTTTCTTTTTCATAGAAATTTTTTTACTATAACAACCGTGAATAACACTAACCAACAACGTGCACAATTTTCATGGCTTAGCAACGTATGCCTTATTAATTGTGCGAAAAAAAGGTTTGGATTCTAAATAACATAGAATTTTTTTGTTTCTCTAAAAAAGAAATGAACTTACGCACTGCCCAACTGCGTCAACCATATTTGAACAATCATGGTTATAACATCGCAGAAATACCCTTAACTTCGTCGCCAAAAGGTTCTTAAATGAAACTTTCTTATACCAGTGTATACAGGCGCGTATATTCTAGAATTACGGATTGTATCTTCAGAAAACAACTCAAAATATGAATCAAAACAGAAATTATTATATTCCAAATCAAGATATAGATGTTTTAATTTTATCATTATTCACGCAGTTTAATACTCTAAAATATAACCAGCATCTTAAGAATTTTACTTATTATGAAATAATTTAATTTTGGATGTAACGCGTCTTCTGATTGGCTGACGTTGTTTTGTTTATCAGCTCATAGATATAATTTTGTCATGTGACCGTGATGTCATCAACGTTTTTTCATGGTTTACTCCGGTTTGAAATGGAATTTAGAATTAAATTATAAGAAATGACTGTAATATTTTTTCTGTCTATTCGAAATAACATAAAAAATGTGGTGCACACTTTAAAATAACCCGCTACGCGGGTTATTCAGTGTGCACCACATTTTTGATGTTATTTCTTCATAGACAGAAAAAATATTACAGTCATTCCTTAATTAATTCTAAAATATTAATATTCAAGCTTTTTAAATAATATCTATATATTCTGTCTTTTAATAAACAGCATATAAAAACTTCTCCTCATTATAATTAAAATTTGTACGCAAGTCTTTTATATTAATAATATTTGGACTGTCTTTCAATTTACAGCATATAAACACATCTCATCATTATAATTAAAATTTGTAAGCAAGCCTTTTGAATTGACTTATAAAATCAAATACCTAATAAAGTCCTTCACCCTAATAATGATTACATACAAAAAATATCAATAGAAAAACCTCCACCAATGAATTAGACAAAATAAATATCTACATTTTCGCTTATAAAATCAACATTATTTTAACAAAACATTCCTCATGATGAGTTCATCCAAGTTAACATCTTGATCATGAAAAAGTGTGCTTACATCTTGTACACCTATTCCTATTTTTTCCGATTTTGAACCATCAAAGCTTTCAATCGAAGTAATGCCCTTTTCAAATACCCTTTGAGTAAGACTTTGAACTTTTGTTACTAAATTTGGAAAAACTAACCATATCCTTTGTTTTTCTATTAAAGCAAATTTGACTTATTTCATTTTTAATTTTTGCTTTTAAACTTAGAAAAATAATTTGAAATTGAAATTAAGATAACAATTCGTTGTTCAGTTTGAAATCCAAATTCAAAGAGAACAAAGTCATAAAACGAACCGTTCGACCATCATATCATGGCCATGCAACTATTATCCTCAGTGTAAGCTAGTACGAGTTATCCCGCATGATTTTAATTTCTTATCCGTCTAATCAGTCTTTTCTGTGTGTGATATCTTATCAAGACACCATGCTGAGTTTGTAAAGACAATGTTGACACTCGTAAATAATTTGACAACCCTAAGTAAACAATATTATAACCATATGACATTGTATCATGTTAGGTTCCGTATGAATGCGAGTTTTATAAACTGACTTTATTTCCAAAAGATAAAATTCGATTTTACCGAATATCAAACATACAAAATAAAAAGTAGAAAAAGGACAAATACGAGATTATGACAACCAAACATATATACATGTATATATATCTATCATTAAAACGTTGGTTTGTTATAGTTTATAAAAGGACTTGCATAAAATTAAAATTGTTCTTTAACAATTTCAAAAGCAAGAGGGTTGTAATTGTGAGGTTATATTATATTAGATATAATATTCTTTTGCTTAGACTCCTTGAAGATTGGAAAACAGCTTTGGATAAAAATATGTATGTGGCAGCTATACTTATGGATCTTTCGAAAGCTTTTGACTGTCTACCACATGATATTCTTTTAAGTAAATTATCTGCCTACGGTCTTTCTTCTAAATCAGTGAAATTACTTCAAAATTATCTTACAGATCGTAGGCAACAAATCAAGGGAGTACTCAGCAGTTGGGCTGACATCCAGAAAGGGGTACCCCAAGGCTCAATCCTGGGACCCCTATTATTTAATATTTTTATAAATGACATATTCTATTTTATTGAACATGGTACCCTGTATAATTATGCTGATGATAATACTCTGTCATATGCTGACAACAATTTTGAAAATTTATTGTGTACACTTGAAAGAGAAAGTGCTGTTTTAATTGACTGGTTTAGATTTAATTGTATGCAGGCAAATCCTGATAAATTCCAAGCCATTGCAGTTGGAAATAAAACATTTGCAAAAAAGGCCTGTTTTTAATATACAGTCAGCAAAAATATCCTGTGATGAGATTGTCAAACTTTTAGGTATTGATATTGACTATCAACTTAATTTTAATCACCACATTAAAAATATTTGTCGTAAAGCATCTCAACAACTGAATGTTTTAAAGCGCATTGGCTGCTACCTTACTAAATTAAATAAATTGACCATTTTTCACACATTTATTTTATCTAATTTTAATTTTTGTCCTTTGGCATGGCATTTTTGCAACAAAAATAACACCACTAAATTAGAAAAAATTCAGGAAAGGGCTTTACGATTCATATATGAAGACTATGCTAGTTCATATGATGAACTACTTTTACGAGCAAAGGTTCCATCATTGAAAATAAGACGTATGCGTAACATGGCTATTGAATGTTTTAAAATTTTATATAAATTGTCACCACCATGTTTACATGATTTAGTTGTATTGAAATATTGTAAATATAATTTTAGATATTCTAATTAATATTGTAGATATACCTAGGGTCCGAACATCAACCTATGGTAAGAACTCTTTTAAATACACAGCTGCTGTTTTATGGAATGATCTACCTGATGATTTTAGAAAAATTGCTAATTTTAGTCAGTTCAAAAATATTTTAAAGTCATGGAATGGAAATGACTGTAAGTGCACAGATTGTGCAGATTTTTAGTTGATATATTATGCTAAAATTATTTACCATTTAGATCATACCCCCTTTTTTTCTTTAAAACATTTTATGCTATGCATTTTACCAGCTTTTATGCCTAGTTTACACTTATATGCTTTTAGCTTTAATACCTAGTTTATGCTTATATTCTGCTTGTTACCATCATGCTTTTTAGTGCTTCTTTTTGTGCTGTGTAATTTATTGCATGTGTATTATGTGTTGTATTGTTATATGTTGTATTGTTATAAATGTCTTGTATGTCGGTTAAAAGCTCATTAGAGCTTATGTTGTCTCTGTTTGTATACCTTGTCGACTCTTAATAAAGCTTATTTATTATTATTTTATTCTTGATTTCAGTAACACCATTTTTAGAGAAGTATGCATTGAGTTGACAATCAAAATATGGATAGATGTAATTCATGTAATAACAAAATACATAATCGAAAAATGATTCACTATAGTCATCAATAGAAATTTTCACACGATGTTGTTCGATTTTGATATATTTTAAACCTTTCTTTCGACGTAAACCCGAATATGAGATAACGTAGAATTTTAATACACATACACAAACACAAACTCATTGTAACATTTTGATTTTTATTAAAAGAATAAATTCAGTCTCTGCTTTTTATCTTGTTTTAACCTCCCAGAATTGTATGTTGATTTTTATTTTCACTGACTTTTCAACCATGATTTCTGAGAGACACTTTTCTCAAAATGGGCCTTCAACACTTAATGCTACTATAGTACCATTGCCCGCGACGATTCATTTTGTTTATACATCACAATGGAAAACACGCTACACAAACGTATTGTAAAGAGAAATGTCGTATTAATAATGAATAAGTAAAAATGTACAGCGAAATTTTCAAATTTCTTTAAAAATGTCTACAGTTAAGACAAAAAATTTAACGATGTGAAAAGCAGCGTGGATTTGAACTTGACAATTTTATCTGAAATTCACACCAGGTGACCAAATACATGTTGAAATTTGTGAACTTCACGCGGATATCTTTAGAAAACATGCTAATCGAAACAACAGGGGTCGCAGGCATCTGTTTTCAAGTATAATTCTGAATTTTAACGATTCCAATTATCTTATTCATTCGATAAATTAAAAATTACAAATTCTGCAAATACATGTACAATATAAATGTAAGCCGAAGATGTGGTATGAGTGCCAATGAGACAGCTCTCCGTAAACTTTACATTAACAGAAAAATAATTAATAAAATAAGTTTCCTTTTTAATAAAAATTTTACATAACTGTTCAATTGCAAAATTAAAATTTTTTTCACGATAGAAACTTTTGAAAGGACGGAGACAAATTAAAAATAATATTTATTTTGTTCAATTCGTTTTATTTTTCTAAAAGTTAAGTGTATACAAGGAGAATGTGCATCAAACAGGCAATAGACTAGTAAATTCACATGTACATGTATTATCTAAAATTTTGTTTCTTAAACTGTTAAAATATTTTAGTTCAATTTATTTCAATTTTAAGCGATTGCCGTTTTATAATCTTTAAATTAGCATTACTATATACAAATATTTTCGTATATAGTCCACACTGGCACATATGCTGCCCTTGTCTTATTCTTTTAAGACTTTGGCAATTGGTTTATCTTTGAGAATATTTTTTTTTCTCATTTGAAACTTTTGTGCATTGAAATTTACAATTTATAAAGTAAACTTGAAAAGAAAGAGGCTATTAAACCGTCACAAAGAAAGAAAAAAAACCCACAAACTACTGAGAATAACATAAGTCATCACATTGTCATGTGTTAATTATTTATCCACGAATAATTACCTGGTTTGACTTAGATTATTTCTGGTCAACTTCAGAAAATGATCGCAACTCGATTTTTGAATAAAAAAGGCCCTGATTCAAAAAAAATTGTAAAATATGAAATTCATATTAATTGTTGGATAGATTTAAAACCAGAGAATAAATATACATGCGAATGAAGCTGTTTCTAATAAAGATTGTTTGTCAATTCATTACAGCAGATTCCATTGAGTGTGTAGCCAAAGGTAATATCTTTGGTTAGCTTGCTTGATAGCTGAACCGTGAAGTCATTGTTAGGTTAGGTAAACTACCCTACTTTAAGAATAGACTAGTCCGACAGAAAACCAATCAATCTGTCTGTTGGACTATGCTACTTCGAAAGGAGGGTAGTATACCTGACCAAATAATGACTTCACGGTTCAGCTAACAAGCAAGCTAACCAAAGATATTACCTTTGGCTACACACTCAATAGAATCTGCTGTAAAGAAAACCCATGTTTTAAATAGAACGAGTTTCTGATAAAAAAAATAATGTGAAAAAAGTTATTGATCCAATGCGTGCACATATACTAAGTTACCAAGTCCTTTGTGTACGTTTATTACGGATCCATAACGTACAAAAAAAAAAAAGGAAAATAACAAAAATACCGAACTCAGAGGAAAATTTAAATGAAAAGTCCCGGAGCAAATGGCAAAATCAATCGACACAAAATATTGCATGATATGATTGTTTATCAAAAACTTTTGCTGCTTATTAATATTCGGGTTTTGGTGCGGAATTTTACCAATCGTAACCTGTAAATAAACAATCAATACATAATTATGGAGCATGTGAAAAATAAATTAGTTCATATGTATATTTGTTGTTTTTTTTTAAACATTTTCCATGGGTTCCCAGTAAATTAAATTTGGTCATAACAGTTGTTAATTGATCAGGTACATTACATTTTGTTCTTTCAAAATCGATTAATATTATCCTAATTCAACGTTTGTTTACCTTTTCTTTCATCACGATTTTTCCTCGCATTTGCGCTGTGCGGTTGTCGAAATTCTAACGAAAGGTGTCATGGTTAAGGTAACTGCATATTGAAAAGATGTTGACGAATTAGTTTACGGGTAAACAATAATTCAATATTATCAGTATATTTCTGACTTTGATAAATGAAGGAATTTCTTTTTAAAAGAAAGTATATGCACATGTGTTCATATTAGATAACCACAATTGGGGAAGGTCTAAAAACAGGACAGATAAAACCAGGACAGTTATTTTTGATACGTTTTCATCTGTTACTTTTGTTTTACTCAACATATTGTTGAAATTTAAACTGTATAATAAAGAACAGGGTATATACTTACATTATTTGTAAAAAAAATAAAGATAAAAAATTAATAAGTTAAAAAAAATCTGCCAGGACAATTAAATTTTAAGAAAAAAATGGCTGAAATTGCCGAGAAAAATTTACTTATGATTGAAATAATTTCTCCAAAATAACTGTCTGGCATAATATTTTTGTACGATTATAAAGTTTAGGGAATAATCATTCTAAAGATCTAAAATTTAATATAATTTTCGATTTTTAAAGTTAAAAAAATCTGCCAGGACAGTAGCCGATTACGTTAGAAATTTTGTTGAAATTACCTCAAAATCGTAATATAAAGTTAAATATCTTCTTCAAAATGAATGTCTGGTAAGCAAATGTTGGTTCATTGGAAAGTTTAAAGTATAAGCTTTAAGAAAATATAAAAAAAATATGGACTTTTATTTCATTAACACAAAAAAAATCTGCCAGGACAGTAGCCTACTCCGTTAAATTTCTGTATAAATGGCGGAAATTCACAACGCAATTTCTAACTATAAATGAAATATTTTCTTTATTTCGATTGTCTGACATACTATTTTGATACTATCATAAAGTAACAGACACAATTATAATATAAAACTAAAGAAATTGATCAATTTTCATTCTTAAAGTAGATAAAAATCTGCCAGGACAGTAACTTATTTGTCTTAACTTGTGAGGAAATTTCAGATAGAAAGTGTTTAACTTCCGACATTGTTAATTATGCACAAAACATTCTTTTAAAACAGTTTCCATTAATCCAGGGTTTCCAGAACACATGTTATGCTCCAGTTTTCTGTAATCAACAAAAAAAATGGCTTTCTGAGACAAGTTTTACACCTACACAGGGTCCGGCTGTACAAATTCATCATAAAGGACATTCACACTGGGTTACTTCTTTAACCAAACAATCAAATGAAGTTTATATATTGGACAGCATGTACGACACACTTACAACATCTTCAGAAATACAACTTTCACAAATATATTCACATGGTAAAAAACGTCTGTTGGTCAAGATACCAGAAGTTCAGAAACAAACTAATTCCATAGATTGTGGGTTGTTTGCAATTGCAAATGCTGTAGAATTTTGTTTTACAAGTTTTTCAGGTGGAATACATGTAGAATTTGACACAGAAATTTTTAGAGAACATCTTGTGATTTGTTTAGAAAAAGGTGAATTTATTCCATTTCCAAAGAAAAAAAATGGCATGAAAGGTAAACCGAAATATAAAACTAGTGTGGTGGAATGTAACTGTCAGTGTGGCAAATGTGATTCAGTAGAAGACATGTTAGGGTGTGAATGGCAGAAAGCAGTTAAAAAATGCAACATTTGGAAACACGTTTCGTGTACGGGGATAAAAGAAGGTGACACATTCCTGTGCTCTAAACACATTACTAATTAGTGAATAAACACCTATGAGGATTTGACACCAATCAGTGACTTTGAAGTTTTTATTACTGTCAAAACTTAATTTAATTTGTTAAGAGTTTGCTTCCGATAAAAAGGAGATTTTACAGTTTTTAATTTTTGTGTTGTTTTTTTTTTATTGTATTGTATGATTATTTATATATATATGTATGTATGTGTATGAAATGTTTTTGATTAATAAAATATAAGCCCATGCCCTTTCAATGATCTGTCTGCTACCTTTAATTAACTGAAAAGAGATCAAATTAATCAACATAACGAAATAAGTAAATATTTTTTTAATGAACACACCAATAATTATGTTTTCTAAATATGTTCACTTTCATGAATATATCACTGATAAAGCTTAAACTGCAAACTTTGAATAGAATAAAACAAAAAAATCTTTGAGAATTATTTTAAATTTAAAACAAATTTCTTCACTAGTTCCAATGTAATAATGTACTGTCCTAGCATATTTGTTTTACTTTAAGAAATGATTAAAAAATAAAGTTATAGATTTTTTGAATGATTTGGTCCTAATAATATCAAAAAAGTATGCCAAACAATGGTAATAAAAATACTATTTCATTTATAATTAAAAATTACGTTGATTTCCGCCATTTATTCAAACATTTAAGATAGTTGGCTACTGTCCTGGCAGATTTTTTTTATGTTTACAAAATAAAAGTTCATAAAATTTTATATTTTCATAAAGCTGATAATACAAACTTTCCAATGAACACACATTTTCTTGCCAGACATGCATTTTGAACAAAATATTCAAATTTATCCATTGATTTTAAGCGAATTTCAACAAAATTTCTGACGCAAAAGGCTACTGTCCTGGCAGATTTTGTTTGTGTTAATGAAATAAAAGTCCATATTTTTTTATATTTTCTTAAAGCTTATATTTCAAACTTTCCAATGAACTAAAATTTGGTTACCAGACATTCATTTTGAAGAAGATATTTAACTTTATATTTTGATTTTGAGCTGATTTCAACAAAATTTCTAACGTAATAGGCTACTGTCCTGGCAGATTTTTTTACCTTTAAAAATCGAAAATTATATTAATTTCTAGATTTTTAGAATGAGTATTCCCTAAACTTTATAATCGTACAAAAATATTATGCCAGACAGTTGTTTTGGAGAAATTATTTCAATCATAAGTATATTTTTCTCGGCAATTTCAGCCATTTTTTTTTTTTAAATTTAACTGTCCTGGCAGATTTTTTTTAACTTATTAATTTTTTATTTTATTTTTTTTTACAAATAATGTAAGTATATACCCTGTTCTTTATTATACAGTTTAAATTTTAACAATATGTTGGTTAAAACAAAAGTTACAGATGAAAACGTATCGAAAATAACTGTCCTGTTAATAGACCTTCCCCCACAATTGTTTACTAGGGCAGAAATCCGCTCGTCAAAAAACTAAATCGGTACTTTATTGTTGTTCTTTTCTAAAAGATATCATGGTTATTGGGAAGAGCTACTGAATTATCTCCCCTTGTCGTGATAGATGGCATTGCCATTTGCTAAATAACTTCCGTTGCACCTGTTTACATTTTGCGACATTTGTGAGTCACAAGAAAGTAAAAATTCCAGAAATGGAATCGAAATATGACAGAGTAGATGTCCCCGAGAATTTATATCTGCATTCAGACAATGAACCAAATGAAGATTTTGGTACAGGGGTTTACCCGATCTCGGTAATCTCAAGGAAATCCAATTTGAAGTGTGACACCGTAAAAGTTGCATGCTTTAGAATGAGAAGAAAAAGTCGTTGTTTCCTCATGATTGGTGGCGTCATCTTTTTGATAATCGTTATTTTACTTATTGTAGTGGCATCGAATCACAAAGGCAATGATAAAGCTCCAGCTATTGTACCAACTATTAAAGAAGAAACCAAGCTAAAAGGTAACACTCGTTCTAGACAACAATAGACGTATTTACACTTGTATGCAAATGTGTCCGCCATTACGTAAAATCACACAGGTTCCCGTAAACTTTGACATCATAATTCAAAAGATTTGACGTCACAATTAAAAAGTGATTGTTGTCTGACGTCAAAAGGTGATTCGGAGTAGATCTAAGGTCATTCGGAGGCAAAATATAGCTAAATACCAAAAGTGTAAATACGTTTATAACAGTAGTGTTGTATACCCCGAGATAAGGCCAACCTTAAAAATATGTTTGTTTGCAGTTTTCCGACTGTACCTTCAGACTGCAGGGTCGGTAGGTAGGATAAATATTTTATTTTATCAGCCAGAATAAAGTTTAAACAAGCAGTTTAACACAAACCAAGTTTCTTGTGAAGAAAAAACATTTTGAAACATCAAACACTGAAAACTAACATGAAATGAACAGGCATTTTCAGGTAAACAACTTTTTAACCAAAACTGAAACTTAACATAGTGTCATTATACGATTCATGACATAAATTTATGGTATTATGAAATACTGGAACATTTATAAACAAGGAATGACTAGAATTGTTGTAAAGAAACATATTCACTGACATATATGCATCTTTACTAGAATGTTTTCATGAGAAGAGTATTTGCATCAGAAATATGTAGATATTAAAGATTCAAAAGACAATTTAGGAGTGTGTTAAAAAAAATCAACCATTGAATCTTCCTCAATTGAAAAAAAAGACAACTTAAAAAAAAATATATTAGACATCTGACTGTTATAAAGGTTATATTTGGAAAGATATGTTGATGCCAGGCTTTAATTAAAACAAACAAAAATCTTAAGACTAGCTTTGGGGTGAAATCCATAACACCCCATTAAAAGTAAATGGTCTGTACTGAAATGATTTGACTGCATAAAAAAATTGACAGCTAAGGACATATTTCAATTCAATTCACACAGGCCACACAGTTTGGGTATATTTAATATTGTAAGAGAGAGAATAATTGCAATGAGTGGGACAGCCCCCCTTATCCTAAAGGAGCATGCTCATTGCAATCGAAGATAGATTGATACAGAGAGAATATATTTATTTCTCAAGCCAACGATTCATTTTCTCTACATCTTTGTGTAGTTTGTGGGGCTTCTTATTGATTTAACACTTCAAATTCGTCCTTCCACAGTACAGTTGAGTTTACAGGTATCCATGAAGTCACTGGCGGAGGAGTGGTTTCATCTTTGTCGTCTTCATGACGATTTAAAGAAAATATGGCATACTTCAGGCTGCTGTCAAATTGTTGAACCACTGATATTGGTTCCATAAAGTCAGTCTCAAAAGATTCTGTATCCGATTTGTTTGAGACAGAAAGGGTTATCGTGTCGGTTTTATGAATATCCGCTGTATCATCTTCAATGATATCATCGAAGAAATCATTCCGTGTGCAATTCTGCCTAAATCAGTATAAACAGTTTACTATGGAACTTTTCTGTGTATTATTTGTCTTAAAATTGACAGAAGACGACAGAATAAAGTACTCCTCCATGACTTCGTGGATACCTGTAAACAATCTCCATGTGCTTTACCATTAAAGTGTCCGATGAACGCTTGATAGGAAGGAAAGAAAAACCGAACTTCAAACATGTAATTGGCCTAGACCTGAAATCAATTCCGGAAGCGACCCAAAATTCCGGATCGAGTCAAAAGAAGTATTAAAAATAATTTCTTCAAATTAAAAGCAATAAAATGTTCACAGTCGGGCGGATTTTCGAAGGTCGGTCGGTAAACTGCAAACAAACAATATTTTAATTTAAGCCTTATATGAGGCAGGCATAACCTGTGAATGGGGACGAAGTCTGTATGATTTTTTTTTTAATTCAAACATATTTTAACTTCAAATCTGTTAAAAAAGAAACGGAAATACCGTAACGTTTCCGATTTTGGTTCTGTTGTTAGGGATTTTAGTTGTGACGTTATTTATGTTTTGACGTCATATTCAATGTAAACAAAGAAACGCAATCATCAGGTAACGGTTTTTCATATCAAGCCATTCAATGAATTATTAAAAATGAAATTGGTATTGCGTTCCTTGCTACATGTCCTATATTTTACTAGACTGATAAATATATATTTTACTCAAAGACTCATGCAAACGAAAAAGGAAGTAGATTTCTGCGCAAATGCGGGAAAACAAAAAAGGCTGAAAATAAAAAAGTTAACGATTTTGAGTTCATTAGTGGAATGAAAATTTCGGGAATTTTTCCCGATTTAAAATTTTTTTTTTTTTATTGATTTTACTACCGTAATAGGGGACTTGGTCCCCTCTTAAAGGTACTCTACATTGTAAATGGTTGAGTTTGGCTCAATTGGTTAGAGGCTAGAGCGCTACCTTTAGATCCCAAGAGTGAGGGTTCGAATCCCGCTGGTACCATACAGAATCCATGACAAATCGCCCCACTGGCAATCGCCCCACACCTAATCGCCCCACTTTTTCACCAACTTGCCCCACTTTCTAAAAAATCACCCCACTCTTGTTTACCAACTCGCCCCACTTATGAAAAAGGGTAAAATCACATTGAAAATAGGTTGGATAACTTGCCCCACTTATGAAAAGGGTTAAAATCCTGCTAAAATAAGGTCTGCCAACTCGCTTCACTCATGACAAATAGATAAACCACGATGAATTCAGTAATGCCAACTCGAAATGAAAAAAGATGCAATTCCGTTGTATATCTATGCTCCTGCCCCACTTATAAATAAAATCAATACCTATAAAAACCATAGATAAACATGTACATGTAGTTCTTTTTTTTGTTGTTGAAATAAAGCAGAAAGAAGTGAGTATCAGTATTTCTGTGACTTGAATGCCAACTAGCCCCACTTGTGAAAAATAGAAAAATCCTGATGAATTGAGTCATGCCAACTAGCCCCACTTATGAAAAATAGAAAAATCATGATGAATTGAGTCATGCCAACTCGCTCCACTTATGAAAAAGGAAGTAATGCCATTGAATTTAGGTCTGCCAACTCACCCTACTGATAAATAAAAGTATGTACAGAATTAAAGCCTACCAACTAGCCCCACTTATGAATAAAAGAATTAAACTGTAATGAAATAAAGCAGAGAGAAGTAAGCATCAGCATTTCTGTGACGCTATTTTTCCTGGTAAATATATTCAATGTTTTATAAGATAAGTCAAGAATCATGTGTGTTTACATAATTTTATTCTCAGATGACAGGTTTGCACATCTACATAACATGCATAAGTATGCATAACAATAAAATTTTAAACAAACATACATTAAATCAATTATGACAAGCACTGGCATGATAACATAAAACCATAGGCAGATGCAGGGGGGGCCTGGGCCCCCCCTTTTGTGGGAAAAATTTGGTTGATTATATAGGGAATCACTGAAGCATGACTGAGCGGGCCCCCCCTTAGGTCAGTCATTGGGCCCCCCCCCCTTATGAAAAGTTCTGGATCCGCCACTGAAAACGAAATACTAGATGAAATGTCAGCACTAGAAACATGAACGTGAATACACATATACATATGTATGGCATACAATAGATTGTCATTAAATAGTTCAGTATCTGTCTGCTTCCATGACTGGACCGTTGACACGACCACACTGGCGTAAGAGTCTGGTTGTAGATATGCTGCCTGCAATACAACACAAGGATACACAGTAGACATAGTAAATGCATGTCAAAGGCTACTTTACTTTTTATAATTTTGAAACCAAGCCATAAATTTCTCAATTTTTATTGTTTTCAAACCACAAACAAAACTTACCAATCAATTTTTCAACAACAACAAAACCTGCTTTGACTAGAATGAATGGACATTCTCTTTGATATTTACTGGAAAGTAACATTTGCCTTTCACTGATTGCTCGTTAGTGTTTAATTATTCTTAATTCAAAGACAAAAAGTAACCAATCCGTTTAGTGCTATAAAAACAAATTGCTGTTAATTGAAATCCTTCAATTGTTATGATAAAATATGGGATTATGATACAATTATCAGGTTTCTTTTCAATTGTTATGCAAATAACTAAGCTTACAAGAATAAAGTTATTCACCAATAATACAAAAATTACATGATAATAAATAATGTATTTACAATTATATTTTAAGAAAGTGAAACATCATTTAATTTCAATGATAATAATTTAATAAATTTTCGTTTTTTTGTATTCTGTGTAGATAAGTTTTCATTTAAGTGGGGCGAGTTGGCAGACCTGAAAAATCAAAATTATATATTCCTCTAGATTTTACCATTTTTCATTAAGTGGGGCGAGTTGGCAGGAGAAAAATTAACGGGATTTACAAAATGTAACCCTTTTCACAAGTGGAGCGATTTTTTAAAAGGTGGGGCGAGTTGGTTAACCAGTTTGGGGCAATTTTTTTAAAATTGGGGCAAGTTGGTGAAAAAGTGGGGCGATTTGCCAGTGGGGCGATTTGTCCTGCTTCCACCATACACATGATACATGTACATGGATTTTCACAATATTGGTGCCACATGTACAAATTAGACAAACATCACAAAACAGTAAGGGTTGTAAACAAGAATGACAACATTATATTTAATGCCCCTGCCACGATGGAGGGGGCATTAAGTGTTACCCTTGTCCATCTGTACATGTACGTCTGTTGGCAGGGATCTCCATGACCTGTTTGAGGATGGCGCACCACAATCGTTAAAATATCTTCCGCCATTGTCAAATAATCCACATCATCGTTAAATAATTTCCGCCATTGTCAAAATTCGCTTCTTTACCTGATGCCAATTTGTTAGCAATTATAATCTATTGCATAACCCATATTGTATTATAAGCCCTAAGGGATATCCGACTAAACATCGCTAATCACTAGTACACGTAGATTGACACACCTGACAGGAGAACACTTGATCAAGATAGAGGATTGATTGCATTATTTAATTACGTTTCAGCAAATGCTAATGAAAATTTAGATTGAAAAATAAATTTTTAAATCCAGTTACTAAGAAAAAAGTGTAACAAGTCGAGCACATGCTTTTATATTGACTTACGCAATCAGCATCTCCCTTTATGAATAGATAATTTCATGCCTAATAACACAAGTACAGCAATTATCATGATTATCAATAATATTAATTCACTTTACAAGTTTAAAAGTGATTCGGTGTGAGCCAAGGCTCTGTGTTGAAGGCCATACTTTGACCTATAATTATTAACTTTTTATACATTGAGACTTGGATGGAGAGTTGTCTCATTGGCACTCGTACCATATCTTCTTATTTTTATACGACCGCAAAAAAAATTTTGTGGTCGTATATTGGTATGACGTTGGCGTCGTCGTCGTCGTCCGGCGTCGTCGTCGTCCGGCGTCGTCGTCCGAATACGCATTAGTTTTCGCACTCTAACTTTAGTTTAAGTGAATGGATCTCTATGAAATTTTACCATAAGGTTCAATACAACAAAAGGAAGGTGGGGATTGATTTTGGGGATTATGGTACCAACAGTTAAGGAATTAGGGGCCAAAAAGGGGCCAAAAATAAGCATTTTCTAGTTTCCAGACAATAACTGTGGAACGGTGTATGGATCTCTCTGAAATTATACTACAAGTTTCCATACCACAAAGGGATGGTTAGGATTTGCTTTGGGGGGTTATGGCTCAAACCGTTTAAGAATTAGGGGCAAAAAAGGGGGAAAAACAAGGTTGTCCTGGTTAATGGACAAATACTTTAGTACAAAACATAATTTAAAGCAGTGTAAGGGAGATAAATCAAATACATCATTGAAATTATCTCCCTTACACTGCTTTTAAATTATGTATAAAGTAATGGTTAATGAACAATTAAGATAATTTAAAACAGTGTAAGGGAGGTAATCCAAATATAACGTTTTGGTTACTTCCCTTACACTGCTTTTAAATTACGTTTAAAGAAATGCATATTTATAAAGGAAGACCAGTAAAAATATCTGCAAATGTTGCATCTTTTTTTTTTACAAAAAAATCCATATGAAAGATTTGACACTATATTTTAAATTCTATTATAAAATAGATTAAGTTAGCACTATGGTAAATTTAAATGGGTAATTATGGTTTGGGGGAAAAAAAGGGGGGGGGGGGGGGTAAAAAGAAATTGTGGGGGGGTCAATTTTTTCTCATTTCAGATTTCAGAAATTAAAAAGAATTATTCTTCAAATATTATTTTTTTTTCAAATTTCAAATATTGAAAAATTTCAAGAAGTAATCTTTAATTGCACAGTATGGCGCATTAGATTTGTAAAATCTTTGACCACATTTATTTATTTGTTATGCCGAATCTAACCGTGTATTTAGATTTTTAATTTTGGATCCAGTTTTCAAATTGGTCTACATTAAGGTCCAAAGGGTCCAAAATGAAACTTTGTTTGATTTTAACAAAAATTGAATATATGGGGTTCTTTGATATGCTGAATCTAAACATGTATGTAGATTTTTGATTTTTGGCCCAGTTTTCAAGTTGGTCCAAATTGGGGTCCAAAATTAAACTTTGTTTGATTTCAACAAAAATTGAATATATGGGGTTCTTTGATATGCTGAATCTAACCATGTATTAAGATTTTTTATTAGTGGACCCCGCTATCAAATTGGTTCATATTGAGGTCAAAAGGGTCCAAAATTAAACTTTGTTTGAATTCATCAAAAATTGAATTATTGGGGTTCTTTGATATGCCAAATCTAACCGTGTATTTAGATTTTTAATTTCGGGTCCCGTTTTTTAAATTGGTCTACATTAAGGTCCAAAGGGTCCAAAATTAAACTTAGTTTGATTTTGACAAAAATTGAATTTTTGGGGTTCTTTTATATGCTGAATCTAAACATGTGTTTAGATTTTTGATTATGGGACCAGTTTTCAAGTTGGTCCAAGTTGGGGTCCAAAATTAAACTTTGTTTGATTTCAACAAAAATTGAATATATGGGGTTCTTTGATATGCTGAATCTAAACATGTATTTAGATTTTAGATTTTTGGCCCAGTTTTCAAGTTGGTCCAAATTGGGGTCCAAAATTAAACTTTGTTTGATTTCAACAAAAATTGAATATATGGGGTTCTTTGATATGCTGAATCTTACCATGTATTTAGATTTTTTATTTGTGGGCCGGCTATCAAATTGGTTCATATTGAGGTCAAAAGGGTCCAAAATTAAACTTTGTTTGATTTCATCAAAAATTGAATTATTGGGGTTCTTTGATATGCCAAATCTAACCGTGTTTTTATATTATTAATTTTGGGTCCATTTTTTTAAATTGGTCTACATTAAGGTCCAAAGGGTCCAAAATTAAACTTAGTTTGATTTTAACAAAAATTGAATTCTTGGGGTACTTTGATATGCTGAATCTAAACATGTGTTTAGATTTTTGATTATGGGACCAGTTTTCAAGTTTGTCCAAGTTGGGGTCCAAAATTAAACTTTGTTTGATTTCAACAAAAATTGAATATATGGGGTTCTTTGATATGCTGAATCTAACCATGTATTTTGATTTTGGACATTGGACCATAATAGGTAAATTAAAAAAATTGAAGTTCTTAGACCACATTCTTTCTGTGTCAGAAACCTATGCTGTGTCAAATATTTAATCACAATCCAAATTCAGAGCTGTATCAAGCTTGAATGTTGTGTCCATACTTGCCCCAACTGTTCAGGGTTCGACCTCTGCGGTCGTATCAAGCTGCGCCCAGCGAAGCATTTTATTATTAAAAGTAACTACATGAATATTAACTGCAACTTGATAATCTGAAGAAATTTCATATTGTAATTCGGAATTCATTACGTAGTTTACAATCAAAATATTACATCCGGTTTTCATTCATAATCAAGATTCATGTTGCACAGTCTATTACTATGGTTGAAATTTGCGATTTAAAGTCATTAAAACCATTTAAGTTGTAAACGTTTGCCCTCCAAATCTTTCTTCAACATTTTACAAAACGGGTACGAAACTACTTGTTGTTGATGCTGCAAATCGTCAATACCGATTCATGACATCTGAATTTGATAGTGAAAAAAAGATCCCCCTGATATTTAAGTCCTAAACAATTAGAAAAATAGCAAGAAAACGACTTGGGAACCATAAGGACAGCTTGTGTTCATTCTTGACTAATGGGGAGCCATGTAGGCTTGACATTGGAACTGTTACAAATGACAATCATTGAATTAATGAAAATATTGGTTATTTTATAATAAAATAAATATAATAAGCCATATACCAGTCTGTTCACCATTCCTTACATAGAAATAGAGGAATGAAATACTTTTGATCACACCAAGCCGTAAACGCGGGGTTTTAACATGGAGAAAGTTCCACCATCATTAAATTTTCATCCATGGAGATCCCTGGTTGGTACTTTCCAAAATTAGTTTCCTTTCTTTAACCTGAGTTTGCCTCAACCTATACTCAATGCTTATTACCACCAAACACAGATCATGTTCAAATTTGGTTGGCTTCACTTTCACTGTTCTCCAGTTATGTCCCATATGAATGGAAAAATTGTTCAATTTGCTATTTCCACTCTTAACTTTAGTTTGCCTCAACCTAATGTAAATTACTAATCGAACTTCTACACAATGCTTATTACCAAGCAACACAGATCTAGATTAAATTTGAGTGGGGTCACTTTCACCGTTCTAGAGTTATGTTCCTTTGTAATTGGATAAATTGATAAATTTGCTATTTCCACACTTTTACTGTAGTTTGCCTCAACCAAATGTTAAGAAACTCTTACAAAATGCTTATTACCTCCAAACACAGATCAGGTTCGAATTTGAGTGGCGTTACTTTTAACGTTCTCAAGTTATGTCCCTTTGTAAATTGAAAAATTTCTGAATTTGCCGTATATTTACAAGTGGAGGCATCTGTGTCCCATGGACACATTCTTCATTTTCTTACAAAATGGATCTATAACAATTGTTGAAGGTAAGGTATTTTCAAAATTTCAATGGATTCTGAAAGGCTGATATCTCTTCTATTCAATTCTGACTTGCTTCTGCTTTCTGGTGTACCGAATGGTGATTTAAGCATATAACAGGTACTGGTTTGAGGAGAGGCATTTCACACCATTTGATAAAAATGTTCCCGAATAGACTTAATAGTGCCTGATAAGGGATTCTGAGGCAGCCAAATCAGAAATCAGGACTTTCATTTTATTTTCTGTCATTGGTTAAAAAAATCTGCCTGATCGATCAGGTGTGTTCCTAGAAAAATAATTTTGTTTGCTATAAACATTGATAAAATTGAATATTGAATAAGCATTGGACTCATTTTAAAATGATACAGATTTATTTTATTGTTTAATCAACTACCAATATTCTTTTGTTATAAATCAGATCACTTCCAATGCAATTTGCAGGAAATGATATAAATGTTCTATCCTACGCAAAGCCCCAACAGAACCAATGATGGAAGAAGTAATGAAAGAAGGCAGGGTTTTGTCCTGGTAAAAGTTTCTCCATGGTAAAACTTTCATTCATGGAGATCCCTGCAGTCTGATCTGTGTGGTTTAACAAGATTATTCTAAAAGTTATATTAACGAACATTTGTAGTAGTTAAGATGTCTCCCTATAACGGTTGAAGAACACAAGAAATCCATCTCAAAACAGTATGAACATCTCTTATGCATAAAATAACATGAAAGGATCTTACAAATGTAGTTTTAAATAATTACAATTAAGTCATTATCTTAGCATCTAAAATCAAATGCCAGTATTGTTCATTTCAGGTCTGTTGTTCGAACCCAATGTAGATGGTAGTCCTTTGATCCACTATTCCATAAAGGACATGAACACATACCACAAGTACCTCAATCAGTTGGATTTCTACATGTACGGTAAGAACTTGTGATCTTATGTATGGCGTGGACTACAGTACACACAAGATGATTCAGTAAAAAACTACTCGCCGGCGTTGAGTGATCCAATGGAAAATGATTATTTCAATAGATATAAGAAGATGTGGTATGAGTGCCAATGAGACAACTCTCCATCCAAGTCAAAATTTATAAAAGTAAATGCATGTTATTGACAGTTATAAACACTTGATTTACCACCTAGTCATTCAGTACTATACACACAAGAAGAATAGATGCAGTTAATGATTACTGTCTGCTAGGGTAGATTGAATCAGTGTGCATTTCACAGTCAGGGGACTTATTGAAATAAGTGATTTTTAAATCACTTATTTAAGTAGCAAATTCGAAGTTTTGTCACAAATTGTGATTTTGTAGTTTTACCAAAACTTTAAACACATAGGTCTAGATAATATCTTTTCATTAGCATGATTAGTAAAATTGAAAAAAATGAACTTTTTGCTTCTTTTGATATCGATGCAATCATTTAGCTGCAAATTCTATTTTAGTTGAAAAAAATGCTATAAAAATGGCTTTACATAATCATAATGAACAGATACTTTCTTGACAGATTTTTCCCAGCAGTGGGAGTATTTTTCCTGTAAAATTCAAGGTTTCATCTTATAGATTATGTAATAAAATTCTACTGTTCGCGATCAAAATTTCACTGTTCGGGGGTGTTGAAATTAGTGGGGGTTATTAAAATAATGATACTTAATAAAGTGATTTTTTGAAAGGAAATTGAGGTATGATACTAAAACAAGTGATTTTTATGTCATTATCCTAGATTTAGTACAAGGTCATCACCTGACATGACCCGGTCATCCTATCAACACAGATGTTGGTTCTGATAATTTTAGCAACATAATTAGTCCCTGGATCATTAGTATTCTATATTTAAACTACAATAAAATTAAATCACTTAGTCTAGTGATCATTAATTTGTACTACTTAAATAGGTGATTATTAAAGAAAGAAAACTCTTACAGTACTTCCATGACTTCCAACCTTTATAGACATAATGTTACTTGAATCAGTGATTTAGAAAATCACTCATTTAAGTAAGTCCCCTGACTGTTTCATTTTATAAGTTAAATGGTATATTAATTTCTTTAATATGGCATTGGGTCATTTTTAATATTTTTAAATTGGATTGTTTATATAGCTTGAAATGCAGAATCTGAACTTATACATGTGATATCATAATTATAAATGCCACAGTTTGAAAAGTTTTTAGAATGATAAAAGTCTAATTTTCCAGGGATCACCTCGCTAGACAGAAAGGGTTACTTTCTCGTCTAGGATTCCTGATTTAATTTAAAATGCATCAGAGCGAAGATCCTCTCTCCCTAAATTTTCAATTAAGTTATTCTACTTGTATGTCTCCAATCTCCACATGCATTTTTTTGACAATCACCAATCAAATTCTGTTTAATATTTTGTACACTGGTTCTTGGATACTGGAATTCGTTAATTATTTGCATAAAATATTCAATGTCTCACCTCATTCTAAGTGAATATACCAAATCTGATACAACCCCTTATTTCACCATCCATACTACATGTAAAAACAGAGTTGGTTATTAAGCACAATTGTGAGCACATCTAATTAGACTTGCGTTTAAATTAGCTTTTTATACATTGTGTATTGCAAAATTCAATACATTATTTTTTGCTCCTTTATATATTCATTAACACGTGCACATTACAGGGCAACTTAATTTGAATATTTGTCATGCTCCTTGAAATAATAAGAAGGTGTCATATTGGCAAATTTATCACATGAAAATCATAATTTTGATCCCTTACTTCTCCTTGAACTCTCCCTGTTCATGCTGTTGGGTCTGCATGACTGCTACAAGTACACATTTTTGTTTAGGGCCAGCTGAAGCCGGCCTCCGGGTTTTGGATTCTCCCGCTGTGTTGAAGACCTATTGGTGGCCTGTTTTCTGCTCTTTGGTCGGGTTGTTGTGTTTTATTAATTGTTGACACATTTCCAATTTCCATTCTCAATTTTACTCTATATATTAACATGATTAAGTTAAACAATATACACAAGTGTGACTTTAATTAGCTATTCATATAACATGTATAGACTTGCATGAATTATATTTTTTCAGATTATTCAGCAGTTCATCAGCAAACATCAGATTATATGAATTGTGTAAACAAGAGTGCATCTGATGGTAAAGCGTGTAGGTTGACAAGTCATGATTTTGGATCTCACTGCACTCATACCAATGTTTATGGGTACCAGGAGGGCAGACCCTGTATTCTTCTCATGTTGAAACTGGTGAGAAAATTCTGTATCAGTAGAGGGGAAATTTTGTTCTTGTTAAAACTGGATAGATTATTTGGTACAAGGCGGGTAGATCTTGTCTTTTGATATTGTATGCACTTGTGATAAGATTGTGTACAAATAAAACAATATAAAAGAATTTTGAAGAAATTATCTACTCATGCTAAAACTTCTATTAAAGGAAGTTTGTATCTTTGCTCTATACACCTTATTGCTATTTGGAAATCTGTGACCCTTGACCCAAGAATCTGTTCCGCTTGAACTATTGATGTCATACAACAATCACTTTTCCATTGTGGCATCAGATACTTTCTATTGTGATGTCAAAATTTTACGTGATGTCCAGTAATGGCGGACAAATAGCGATAAGGTGTATTTAAAGCTGCTAAAAAGTTTGGTACCAGTAAAAGTACCAGGTTGGTAGACCTTGTCCTTTGCTCATGTCTATGCTTTAATATTAGAAGATCGTGTACAAATACAACCTGTTAAAAATATTTGTACCATTTTGCGCATGCTTTAACTTTGAGAAAATTGTTTAACCTTCTTAGAGAAATATAAGGTAAACAGTCTACCCTTTCTTCATATTAATGAAAAAAAGATATGTTTGGATTCCTAAGGTTGAAACCATGGAGACCACTGTAATGGACACAGTACATTATTATTAAACAATGACATCTCATTTGTTTTAAAATTTACATTAAAACTGCTCATACTACATGTATTTTTTCCAGGATAATGATACAAACATAGAGCCATTTACAAGTAAAGACACTGAGATAACAAAAAGACTAAAAGACAGATGGTCAGATGATCATGTTGGAATAACCTGTGATGGAGAGGTAACTAAAAAGAAAACTATATGTAAAATCAATTCTGATTGGATAGTTTTGACATTCTCATGACACACTTTTAAAAGCAATTTTGAATGGATAGAGTAGATATTCTCATGGCACTGTTTAAAATCAATTCCTTTTGAATAGTGTTGACATTCTAACAAAAGTTTTTGTACAAAAAAAGTTGTTGATTGAAAGTTTTAAAATTCTCATGACAGTCAATGTTTTCTGAATAAGACATGCTTGTACATTTTTGTCTCGCCTTGACAGAGTTAAAAAGCGAGACAGGTATGCCTTTTCGGGCATGGTGGATGTATTAGTTTGTAATTAGGTCTAGTTTATGGTGAACCACTAGTGGTAGGTCAATGATATTTGGTATGCAGTTTTATTAGCATTGGCACATCTCATTACCTTTGAGATTATTTGGCACGGCCCCCTCAGTCATGGTCTTTGAAACTTTTGCTTAGTTTTCATGTATTAGTTTGTGATTAGGTCAGTTTAAGTGGAACCGTTAGTGGTAGGTCACTGATAATTGGTATGCAGTTGTATAACCATTGGCATATCTCATTTTTAGGGAGATTATTTGGCCCCGCCCCTCAGTCATGGTTTATTGATTTAGACATTTTTGCTTAGTTTTCATGTATTAGTTTGTGATTAGGTCAGTTTAAGTGGAACTGTTAGTGGTAGGTCAATGATAATTGGTATGCAGTTGTATATGCATTAGCACATTTCATTTCCATGGAGAATATTTGGTCCTTACACCTCAGTCATGGTCTATTGACTTTGAAACTTTTGCTTAGTTTACATGTATTAGTTTGTGATTAGGTCAGTTTAAGTTGAACCACTAATAATGAATGTTAACTCACTGATATCTGGTATGCAAATGTATTGGCATTTGCAAGGTTCATTTCCATGTTGATTATATAACCCCACCCCCTCATTATGGTTCATTGACTTTGAAACTTTTACATAGTTTACAAGTTAATGTTTGTGTTTAGGTTTGCTTAAAGGGAACGACTTATAAAAAGTCAATGGTATTTGGTATGCAGTTGTATAAGCATTGGCACATCTCATTTCCATGGAGATTGTTTAGCCCTGTACCTTCAGTCATGCTTCATTGACTGAATATTTGCATAACTTACATGTTAAAGTATTGCAATTTTAATTTCAACATTTGCATTATCAAAATACCAAATAGGTGAGACATATCTCTGCATTCATTTATCAAACAGTGCCTATCTGTCTTATCTAATTTTAAAGGACTGATCTAACATACTGCTTTTTGGAGCTTAAAAAAAGCAGGCTTTGTGTTAAAAGTGGGCAGATATGTCACTGTCAGATGTTTTGCTTAAGCATTCCCTCAAATTATCAATAACTATCTTTCACAGAATCAATGGGTTGAATTTAGACGACCAATTTAGAAACAGTGATACCTTGTGGGAAAATCACTGTTTTTGATGTTACAACTGGTCTACAAATCATTTTAATAGGGTGCTGAGGCTATGCAACTCAAATTTCGATTGAATTTAGAGGTCTTGTCCATTGAATTATCATTTTATAACGAGGACGAGTTACTGAGCAAAATATGGGAATCAGTAAATAGAAATCCTACAGATAATACAAAAAAAAGAGACAAATCAAAAGCTGAGAGGCAGATGTATGGACCAACTGACATATGCAAACTGTATGCAATATGTAGTTTAAAACCATCTAGGGTAACAGGCAATACAAACTTACAGTACACACAAGGTAATTCAGCAGTTAAAATCACTCTTGCTGGTGTCAAGTAATTCACTGTGAAACAGGGTGATTGCAGGATTTATAGTATTTCATTATTGTAAAAAGCCTTTTCTATAGTTTTGTATTGACAATTAATTTTCTTCAGAAAACAAAAATACATAGAGCAGGATTATAAAGGCAGAAGGGTGCATAGAATGGGAACAGAGAGCTGTGCCCCTTATTTGGGTTAGCTAGCTATATACAGTACACTGCATTTTAACCTTTCCTCTAAACACTGTTTTTTTTTTTATGAAATTTTTCAGACGGCGATAGATAGAGAACACATGGGACATGAAGAATTTTGGTATGAAAACGGTGTCCAGGAAACTGACATAATGTATAGTCCCCCAACAGGATTTCCTGTCTGGTTTTATCCAAAGATGAATCCACATTACAAAGTACCAGCTGTTATGGTTCACTTCAACACAATCCGTTCTTACCATTTGGTGACAATTAAATGTGTTGCGTGGGCAAAAAGTTTTAATAATGGAAAGCCACAAGACTCTGAAATGTATAGTGTTAGGTTTCAGATTTACATGGAATAGACTAGGAATTCAAATATGATGAAATGCATCAGAAGAGATCTGAATATGAAAGCTTAGCTACATTAAAGATGTTTGCCATTGCATATAAGAATAGTATTTGATTGTGCAAACTTGAAAAATGGTTTGACTGTTTGTACTTAGTCTTTATACTTAAAATCATTAGAGATAAAATACTTTTTAATGGAAATTTCAGTCAATCAGAATATTTTTAGTACATTGTATATCTTTTTGATCATAAATATTAGAGTTAGTTGTAGAAATGGCAAATCCTTCCTGAACTACACTTATCATGAAATGGTATGTGTTTTTTTCTAGTCAGTGACGGAAACTTAATAACAATGTCAAATATGTAAGTAGTGCAGTTCACAATTTTTAATTTAAACAGTATTTTATTCAAATAAATTGAATTGGATTGGGCAACAGGCAAAGCCTATGTAAGCCCTCTCCAGTTCACAGTAAATAGATTGTTCTTGTTTTAAATTCTTTTAAAAATTGTGATATACATTTTAGAATTTTTTAGAATTCATTATGAATAATAAATTACCACCTTTTTTTCATAGTTCAAATTATTGATTACAGTTATTTATGATACCTTTGCATATTTGATAAAGCAAATAATTAAAATTTTTTCTTTAATATGAAAATATTGTAAAAATTAATTGAAAAAATAATTGCCAAGATTATGTGACACTGTAAAAGAACACTTTTTACGGGCCATTCCATTAGAAAGTTGTTTGAGTGTGGAAAGGAAGTTTTGTTTTTAAGACATATCAGGTCTTTTATGGTTGCATGTTAATTAGATGTATGCAAACTCACTCAAAAAAAAGTACCGTATGTGGCGTATATAATATGCATTTATGTTATTTATCGAGGAATTACCCTCCCACATTCATTTACATGGGAAGTCCATATTTGGCATTTCATTTATTCTTATATTTTTGGGGCTCCTTTCAAAGCACAAAACAAATAGTACCTAAGAACTGCTTTGCATATATAGTTATGCATAATCTGTATAAATATTGTAACCATTGTTATCATAGTTGATTTCATTGGTTTAAGATATTGATGTCATAATGTAAAATATTCACCATATATCTCAGCAGGAATTTCATGTACCAAGAAACTTTGTGCTAAATTTCAGTGATAATGATAAGGGTTATTTCATTAATATATTTCTCCCAAAATGCAATGAAAAAGGGTCAAATATATGTAGGGATTAGTTTAAAGAAAATATTACTTTCTAATAGAAAAATTCATAAGAGAAAATTATTTTACCCCTGATTACAAATTAGACAGGATAAAACAGTTTTCCATACCTCCATTCTGTAAATATTGAATAAGATGGATACTTTAAGGACACAATAAATTTTGTAGGCCATTTTTTCCATTCCATACAAGTTTTTATATATTTTTTTTATAAAAAGTAAAATAAAATAAAATCATTGTTCAGTATTTGGTATAAAAGTGATTGAATTCCTACCCATATCTGATTTCATTTCCAAAAATTAGAATGACACTCTTGATCCTAAAGTTGAAGATCTAATTTTTATATCAACAAGCAACAACTTAGTTTTTAAATTGTAAATATTACATCAATTTTTTTTTCTCAATAAACATTTTTTATTAGTGAAAATCAGCTTTATCATAATGAAGTATGAATCGATTCATGGAAACTGATGTGGCCTTGATTTTAAATTTGTAGATATTAATATAATTAATTTATATGTAGAATTTATTACCATGTTGTTATGTAAAATGTAATTGGTAGTCCCCAAATAGATTCAACATAGATAGCAGTTACATCAAATCTAAAATTTATTTGATATACATGTATTTATTCAGGGTAATCATATTTTAGCTGGGCCATTATACTTTTTCAGTGCACAACAAAATGCAAATTTTCTATAGGTTTGTATGTAGAATTTACAAAAAGCCACAAAATCAAGTACAAATGTATAGACATGATAGATGGGTAAAACTGAAGCTTTTTTTTCTTCATTTTTGTAACAATTGTCATGATTATGGTCATGAGAAGTCATTGACACATTTTGTGTAAGTACAACATGCATGTACATATTATACTTATTAAATTCAAAGCATTCCAAATAATTTAAAAAATGACAAAGCTCTGTCTGGACTATAATTACAAAATATAATGAAAAATGAAAGTTTTTATAAAAAATTAGAAAGGTCAAACACTTTCATATCTTTATATTAGTAATCCCTGAATCTGTGTACTTGTATATATACATTGTATTATCGATAACAACAAAGACTAGATGACGTTTCAGAGAGAGCACTGAATTGCTAATTTTGATATAAAATGAATACATTATTCAAAGCTGCAGTGGCTGGAGGGAACACCCCATTACATAGCCCAGTATCCACCATAAACAACGTGTGATTAATCCATGGTGTTATTTTTCAATATTCCTCATCTACTTTACCATCTTGAAGTGTTTAAACAGAGAATTTTTTTGATGACATTTGTAAGCTTGTTACAATATGAACAGTTAATGTAGTATTGTAAATAATAGCATGTGCTTTATATTGCTGTTGTTTTTGTTTTGAAGTCATCATTCTGCTTGTAACATGATTGTATATTTATAGATTTTATCTTTAGAGAACATTTGGAATTTTCTGTACTTAGACTCTCTGGTTATTCAAATTTTATGATTAAAATTTTTAGGGAAAATCACTTTATCCACTCTTATGTTTTATTAAATTTTGATATACATTGTATTTAAAAAATAAATAGTACTCCTCAAAAATCCAAAAATCGATTAATTAAAATTTCATTTTCACATTTTTGGCTGTTTATCAGTTATTTATCTAATCAAAATAAATAAAACAAAATTTCTAATTCACCTCTTTTTAATTGAAAAATAAATCCAAAGAACATATGATTAATTAGGTGTGGTCTAAAAAGTATTTTTACCTAAAATATATAAGTGCCGTAGTGGCTGTTATATCATTTGTAACATATCCCTAAGTTATGTTTTTAATTATTTGTTTAAAATATTTCTTACATTCCATGTATTTTTATACACTGTTGATCGTTTTTTTAAATTTAAATTTATATAGAATTATAATAGTTAACCCAGACATTGATTTATTAAAATTTAATGGAAAATAGTACATGGTACAAATTAAGGATTGTTTCATATGTATATTGCCTGTTAATATCTGAGATAAAATATCTGTATGCACATGTACATGTATATTTTGCTGTAGTTGGAGGAAACTTGAATACATGCTTAGATTTAAGTCTAGGTTTTCATCAATTATTTAAATATTAAACAACAAAAGATAAATTGAAAAACTAATTTTGTATTTCAGATGGTTTTATGTACAAAGTAATCATAGCTATATGTTTTTAATCACTTTGAATATGTAACTTGTCTGAATGTAGTTCCACCTGTAATTTTTCAAGTGCAATGTGATTTCTTTACATTTGTATTGTTTTTTTTGTAAATAATTGTAAAATCAATGAAAAAAATGTAAAGTTTCAGGAGTACGAACTTAGTATTGTGCCTTATGGACATGTATATTAAATTTATAGTTCATTAAACATCATTTTAAAAACAATACAACTTTCAATTGTATAAAGGGTTGATAAAAAACATGATGTTGTACATGTGTATTTGATCAATTGATGTTATATTCTTTTTGTAAAATGGAAGAGTTTATTTTTTATAATGAAAAATGTTGATTATTTTTCAAATTCCACCATTACATGCTGTAACAATTATTGATGTGCACATAGATCAATATTGGCTTCAAAATTATGAACTTATCCATAGGCTATCACTTTGTTTTTGTCTTTTTAACAGTTCTGTCTTGCAATTGGTTTGTTTCTTTCAAATAATTTTTTACTATAAACATACACAGGTAAAAAATTCATATTTATGTTTTTTTTTCAATCCTGAACCAATAAACTATAGTATCTACATATTGTATGGTCATCTAAAGTATATTTATCTTGATAATGACCTCTTTATCAGATACTATTATGTTTAGTTAAGTGAAGAAAGGAAAAAAATTGTGACTAAAAGGGAAGTAACTTAAAAATCCTAATTGAGCATAGTTTAATAATGATTGTACTATTACTTTATATCAATGAATGACACTTGACCAAGCTTGCAAAAAGGAAATGGTGGAATCACATAGCATATTGTTTAAAAAAAATTATTTTGTTGTTAAATTTTTTTTGGGGAAAAAGTTTTTGCTATTCTATCAACCAATTTTCTTGCAAATGGTAAATTTGATTTTGAAAAAAAAACACTTGGCTGTTGAAAATCAAAAAAGTTAAATGCAATTATCTTTGCCTACATTTTGCATGAGAAATATTGATATCAAAAGCTATCAGATTGCATTAATAGAAAACCTTTAAGCAACCTAAATCTTATTGATCTTTTGACTATCAAATAGTAAGTGAACAAATACTTGGCTTTGGGTGTAAAAAGATGAGCTGACAATGTAATGTATTACATTGTCTTCTCTGTACCTATGTGTTTGGTGAGGAGAATAAAGATATAGCTATAAACAACCAGAAAAACTTAGATGATGAAAATTTATATAACTTATAATCAATATTCTAAAAATGATTTTTAATCAGGATTTCAAATACAATAATTCATGTTGTTAGTTCATGTACATTCCTTTATTAAACTATTTTTATATTGATGATTTTAATCACAATTTCAATTTGGTGCCATTTATTTTTATTTCTACATTATTGTCTGTTCTTCATTTGTATAATTTACATTTTTGTGTTGAATGTCATATACAAATATTTAATAATATTGTAGTTTGGGCAGATATTTATGAATATGAAGATTTATCAATTTTTTTTCTTTAGAACAGGCATATTTGGCAATAAAAAGCCAAATTGATTTGATTTTTAAGCTCTGATAAATACTTAACAATTTCAGTATGCTAATTAAATTACCAGTTAATCAAGCTTATTAGCTAGTTTTGTTTTAGATATTAGTCCATATTACTACGCATTTTTGTATTGTTTTCACCAATAGCATGTGCAATCATGGAAGTTGCATTTTATTGGGACAAAAATTGTCACATTAAAACCTTATTGTTACCTCTCATTCACGATTTTGGGACCTTCTTTAAACATCTCTGATTTTGTAATTATATGTATATGAAGTTTAAGGTTTTAAATTCAAAATTATTGTTTTTGAATGACATTCAAAACTTAATGTATTTTTCATGCTAAGTTTGACTAAGACAGTTCCAACAATGGTATCCACTTATCTACAAACATGAGTTGATGGTAGGACTGTCTGTAGTTTGAGACTATTTTCATACTATGTTTTATCATTCTACAGGTTGAATATTTTTGATTTTATATTTCTACATAATGTTGATCATTGTTTAATTTGCTTTCGTGTTATTTTTGTCATTAATAAAAATTAGAAAAAAATTGTTTTGTTATTACTTAATATGCTAAAATTGATATATTTTAAGCTTGATTGCTTAAAGGTGATATAAGTTTTGCTATCAACATCATATGTCCTTCATAAAGTTTTTGGAGAATTTTCTCCAGGAAATGTTTCAATTGAAAAGAAATTACAGATTTATGTTATTTGTTTTCTTTGTAGTTTTAATTTTCTACTGATCAAGGAAAAAGTGCGAAATAGTTCAGCATTCACAAAATTGTCAAACTATATCATATATTTACAGCGGTTCAATATTCCGAATCTTTATATCGGTCGTTGTCATCATTTATGTCTTAGTGGATTTTGTTTGCCATATGGAATATAGTTAAAAGCAGAACTCTTCAGTTCATTCGAAACTTGTATATTTTCTTGGCTTATCATGGATATCATGTAGACCACTATACATCCATTTATGATTAATGCTGTCCATTGCTGGATTGTTGTCCTAATTTATGTTTACCTAACATTTCTCGTTTGTTTCTGCTATTTTGTTTTTAAGAATAATGTACTAGATATTGTTAATATTGTTACTATGTTGAACTGGCACATGACATCTACATCTGTCATCGTATACAACTAAAGCAGAACTAAAGGTTACAATGAGATTGAATCGCTCACTTGGAGAGCATGGGCAAAACGAGAATTAAAAAAATGTTTTATCTGGAGACTCTGCCAGAATGTTTCAAAACAATTACTAGTAGATTGTTGATAAAACGTTGAATCCAAAATCTGAAAATCCGTGTAAAAGTTGGAACAAATTCCATAATCAGAGTCAAAGAAGCTGAGAAATGTCTACACTCTCTTCCTGATGAATATACTTTTGTTCCTGAGGACAAAGCTTTAAAAACATATTTTTTGTCATTAAATCATGTATATAAATGAACACTCAGGTACCCCCACTTACAAAAACATAACAATTGCAAATCAGGCCTCATTGAATATCCATTTGAGCAACAAATCTAAGGACTAACCGTGATTGTATTGGGTACTTAATCTGCAAAGCTCTGATTCCTTTGCCCAGCTTTGGCTATACTTTTTGGTCTTTTTTTTTTTTATAGCTCTTCATATTGTTAATAAGCTTTGGATTTTCAAATATTTTGGCCTCGAGCATCCCTAAAGAGACATTGATTGTCGAAATGCGCATCATGTGCAGAAAAATTGGTACCGTTTATGTTATTACTAAAGTTTTGGAAGCAGTGAAAGGCAAATAAAAGAAATATTGTGATAATGTTTCCCCGCATTAACTATATGTGATTTCTAAAGAACTCCAAAGATTTAATATCGGTCCTTCTTTGAAATACATTTTAACAAATACATTCAATTTTCCCACCCTTTACTCCACTGTACAACTTGATGAATTGAAAACATGTCTAAAAGAAATAATCTACAATGCCTATCTTCTTGAAAATGGTACAACACCCCACAAATTTATTGTTTTAGTATACAATTCGGGATATTTTGTTAAAAAAACCGAGGATAAAACATACTACACTGAAGAACAGGTGATCAGTATGTTTGAGGTTCTCATCGACAACATATTTGTTGAATGTGGAGGTAGAATTTTCAGCAGGTTGTCGGCATTCCTATTGGAACCAACTGCGCGACCGTCCTTGTCGACCTGTTTTTATTTTCATATGAGTCGGAGTTCCTAAAGGCACTTATAAACAACACGGCGAGTACCACAAATGAAACAAGAAATCCTCAACCTTCTGGAGCACCTGATATAACCCCAGTCTTTTTGTAGGACTCCTGTTAATCAGTCTTTTAAGTTTCTATTTTGTGCTTTGTAGACTGTTGTTTGCCTTTAGGTTTTGTTTTCCTTAATTTCCATGACGTGGTCAGTTTGTCTTTGTGTAATGAGTTTGAATATCCCTTTGGTATATTCTGCCTACCTTTTATAAAAAAAACCCCGAAAAGATCAAAGAAGCTAGATCATTTTATTTCACATACTGACATTTATTTATGATGTTATCTAGATTAAGTATCCTATTTTTTTCTGATTGGCTTCTATTGATATTTAATATTTAATACTCCAAGACTATAAATTATCAGAACTTTTCTTTGTGAAGTTTGTCTTACAAATTTGCATAAGGGTTTAAAACTCCTTGCATGTGTATATATAATACATTATTTACAAATTTAGTTTTATGCCACACCTATTGGAACCAGTTATGGGAGCAATTATGTTTATTCATCCTTTAGTCTATCTGTTCGTATGTTCCTTGCCAGCATACCACTGTTGCTTGATGTAGTTAACCTTAAAGTTGTGTTCATATCATCTTGAAACTTATTACACATAACGATTGAACGTTTTTAATATATGCATTCATATATTTCATAGGAAAAACACCCTTTTATATATTGACTAGCTACAAGACAAACAATCCGTGACATTTGAATTAGACATTAACCACATGAAATAATTTTAATTTATTAGATGAAAATCAGTTCACAATTGTAACTTTTACAGATATTTTAACAAAAGATAAACATTTATGAACCATTGACATAACTTTCTACCCAATGCTATACTACTCCATAACACTACACAGCATTGCTTTATTTGACGTTACAAAACGTTATCCATACCAGCAACAGGTCTGTTTTACAAGCATGTATATAGGAAGATATCCCAACCCATGGTAACAAACAATTTTTTTTCCGACCTCATTAAAAACAAATTTGTTTATTAACATACAGAAAGAAAACTTCTTTTTTTTAAACTAAATATTGTATTTCTTTGTTTTCCTTTTTTTAAATGGAAACACACTATGTTTTATTTCCGTCCTCCTTTTGAAACAATTTTTTCAAGAAATTTAGAATCGAACAGTTTATTGAAATAATCCATGCACCCCACAAAAGATGAACGAGAGGTGCCTCATATATATTATTTCATTATTTTCACATTCCCAATTTGTCATTAAATGTGAAAATGAATCGTGCTTTGTCCTAAATAAATTCTACAAGATCCCCTATTAAGTCATTGAAAGATATATTCAGTGTACTAACTTTTTTTATATAAAAGATTTGAAGTAAACTTTTTTTTTATTTAACCTTAAATAACTTATCTTAGATTGAAGCCGTTAAAAAAATCTCAATTCTATAATTAAGCAAAAATAACAATATTAATTTTCCAATTTAAATGAGATAAATATGCAAAGAAAAACATCTCCATTTAATCTACAAAAGGACATTATAAGCAGGTTTATCGTGTAAAAGCAGCAACTGTCTTTCAGCAAATTTGTCTCACCTCGCAGGTTTAACCATTTCAATCAATATAAAAGTTTCAATATGGCAAATTTGATAGTTTAGTCCTTATATAGGTGTTTATGTTTGAATTAATAAAATAACCGATGACGAGCCTAGTTACTAATTTTACTTATCTCTAACGGAAAAATGAATTCCATTTAATATCCAAAACCAGTTTGCAAGCTAATGTTATACATTTGTTGAATTCAATGAGATTAATCGCCAACTAATTTTCAATTCTTAGATTCATTTTAACATTGACATATTGAAAGTTTTGTTTACAGTTATTTCTAATTAGGAAGAGTTTGTTTTGAGGTTGGTATTGCCTTAATGGAAAAGTTAATGTTTTCTATTTTCAGCACATATGTATTAGATAAAAAAAATTGAGCAAAATTTCAATTCTGTAAAGAGAAAAACAATTCATTTTATTGTTGGAATATTTTCTTGCACACAACTTGAATAAGTATTATATTCATCTTAAACTAATAGAAAGAAAAGCCGATAGTTTAAACTTTAAAGTTAAATTAAACGTCTTGAAATGTCAAAAGTAGGTTCTTATGTTAAAACAATCATGTTTAATGTCAATAATCAACTTTTCAGCAGATCCAAAAACCCATGTAACTCTAATCAATTTCAAGGACTCTAACAAGTCAAGTTATCAAACACATATTAACTATGGACAGTATAAATTCACTTGCTTAGTTAACTTGATCAAAAGGATATTAAAACTAGATAAAAAAATCAATTTAAACAAAAGACCGGTAGTGATATTCTAGATCTGTTGTTAAATGTATCTGCTCCATGTTGATACTTAAAAAATAATTCATGGCAGCCGTAGATTTTGTTTTCATTTAACCATTGGTTTGGGCATTTATTTTCGATTATTTAGTCCCGAGCAATAGCGATCTATAGCTGTCATGAATAATTTCGATTCTAATAGAAAAAAAACCGATAATTCTATACACAAGTCATTGTTTTGGCTGTTTCGTTTACCCCCTCATATAATACTATTCATAATATCATATAATTCAACGATAAATAAATAAAATATTGCATTTGTCGCTTAAAACTGTTTTATCTAATTTCATTACACTCTGAGGCGTACAATAAGCCTATAATACCCGGTGTTTACATTTGACGCCAGAGGCATACATAATTATGACGTCATCTTGCTAAGTTGCCAAAACCAATAATATTATTTTGGCATTTTCGTTTCGTTTTATGAAATTTTACAACGTAATGATAACTGAAACGAACTGATTTGTTTATTTTGCATTAGAATAGAGATGATGTCTTACTGTTCCAAATTCAGTTTACCTGGTCGTATAGATAAAGTTGGCATAACGCGGAACAGTCAAGTTTGTGTATGTATGCATCTGCGATAAGAGAAAATATACAGT